TTTGAACCAAGTTTTAAGTGTCTTGTCTTGTGATGCATCGGCGCAGTCTTGTAGACTCTTTAGTTCTTTTTCAATAGACCCTGTCTTAGCTATTAGGGCTTCGACGCGTTGTGTGATAGTCATATTGACTGGTAAGGAATGCTGGTCGACTAACTGCGCGTAGTGTTCTGAGTTTTTAATGAATGTGAGGGGTTCTTTTAGGAATTGCATCATGGTGGTGTTAACAGCCCCTAGTTGACCAGGGTTCTGTTGATGCCATTCTTCAAACTTGTCCGCAAGACAATTTCCGAGTAAACCCTTTGGAAGGTAGGCGCCAGTAGGTAACACAATGTGGTTCCTTGTATTCTTTCTGCATTTGCCTTTGCGAATCATCATATCGATTTCTTTGCAAGCATTAATGAAGTGTCCACGTTTGCCGCAGAATCCACAATTGCCGTCTCGAGATGTGGGAGAACTAGCAAAGGAAGACTGTGGGTTTGATTGGTAGTTAGGACGTCATGGGGAATGGTCCTGTTTGTCGCTGATTTGGAACTGTGCTAAACGCGCGATTTTGTCTTTGATAGCTTGTAAATGTAGCGTTATTTCTGAGGGCTCTTGTTTTACCATCACTGTTTCGGGTATCCTACTCGAATAAACCTGAGGTATCCCCGTGGGAGCGGTAGAAACAGCGGGTGGGTTGTAAGTTGCGTAATGACCTCCCCCATGGTAGGGTTGTGGTGCGTTTGCATATAGGCTTTCGCCTCTATTTGTTCCTTGTAGCACGAACTGTGTGGCTTTGTATATATCTTTCAAGGCGTAAGGGTCTGAGGGGAAATGATCTGGGAGTTTGATCTGTAACCGGCGCATAATTCCTTCCCATACGGAATCTGGGAATCCTTTGCTGAATAGGTTACTGACTTCTGAGCCCGAAAGTCTTTTCTTGGCTTCTAAGAATTGTGCTTTAGGGAAAAATTCCCTATAATACGTTCCCAGATCTGCTAGGGATGACACTTCACGAGTGTATTTGCCTACAACGTGTTCAATATCCATACGCTCGTATTTTCTATTCGCGTCTGCGTCAGGATATTGTTTAATGATGGCCTCTTTAAGATTGTCATATGTTTTGTTTACATCCGTGAATTCTGTAAGGCTTTCCCAGAAGTCTGCAACTGCAACTGCAGGGTAATGTGTCAACCATCTCTTCTTCTCGGTGTTGTTCATTATGTTGTATCGAGCAAACAGGGCTTCTAAGTCCTGTAAATATTGTGCCAGTTTGTGACCGGGGTTTGCTTCATCGAATATACTGGGTGCACTTTGCTCATGCCTGAATGGCATCTGGGCATTCATTGCGGGTGGTGCAGCTGCCTGTGCAGGTCCTGCTCCTCCTGGTGCAGCAGCTGGTGCAGCAGCGGGGGCAGCTCCTCCTTGTGCGGGTGGCATTGAAGTTTGTAAGGTGTTGGTGGGTTTTGTATCAATAATTACTGGTTGCGATATGAATGGAATATAGATTTCCTCAGTTTCTCCTTCATCTACTGGTGTAGTAACAGGTGCAGCTGTTTGTACTGGGGAGTTGTGTGAGGATAATTCGGTAATGTCGGTGCTCTGTGTAGCGAGACTTAATCTTCTTCCAAACTCGTCAAGGTCTAGTGCTTGGTTTGGGTTATGGAGTGTCGTGGTATCTGATGCTGGGGTAAGGTTACCCATGGTATGATAGGCCGACGGTAGTGTATCTGAGAATAGGTTCGCAGATAGTTGTAGACTGGATAAGACTTCGTCTTCTTCGAATAAATCAAAGGGTTCCGCAGTCGAGATATCAAGTCGTTTGTCATAGAATTCTCCTGGTATAGAAGGTTCTACTTCTTCTTCTTTAATGGTTCACGAAGAAGAACTGGGAATTGGTTGATCACTGGGCGGGGTGTCGGCAGTTAAGTGCTTGGTATCTTTTTGCCACTGTTGGCGTTGGGTTGTTATGTGTAAAGGTCGCGAGGTAGTTGGTTGGTAGGGTTTGTTATGACCAAAGTCCTTTGGGGGCGCAATGATCAAGGTATGTTTTTAGGAGATAGAGTCGAAATTTGACTATTATCCCCTTGCAGTGGGCTCCAAAATGATGAACCTAAAAACTCCTGCGGGCAGAAAACACAACACCTAAACGCCTAGTATAATCAGTCACAGAATCTGAAGGCAGGTTCTTAGCGAGTCTAGTCGGGCACCTCCATGCAGTGACTATAGGTCCTCAGTTCATAGCTTATTCAAGGCTACTTGGTGTTATGTCTCGAGCTATGGGCTCTGTATAAGACAAGGTCGGTTCGCGAAGCGGTTATTAAAAACTATCTAGTTCGCGAAGGTGTTATTGCAGCCTAGTATGCGGTGCGGTCTACTGTTGCACCCGTCTTTGAGTGCGATGTCTGGAAGTGTGAGAATGCCAACGAAGGTGAACAACTGCCTTCTTGGTTTATAGAGTAAAGCAAGGGACGGCGGGGTCGTGACTTAGTTAAGTGCGTCCGTAGTCACTGACTTGTTGGTGTATATGTGCTTAGTGCAAACACTAAGGGTTCTGTAGTCTTTGGTATGGGGGAGTAGTATCCTGAGTGTATTCTGTCTTTCTGGCTAATACACTTGAGTTTTTATACTATTTTTCTCTAACGGTTCACATAATCTAAAGGTGTCATTCTTTGTAACTGCAGTAATAGATTAGTGAGCTTTGTGAAGGGTTTGTAACACTATTATCGTTGCTATAATGTTTCTTACTGAGCTTTCTAACATATAATTGTGTATGCCAGTTTACAACGTATTGCAGCATCCTTAGCTGACTGACGGATACTAGTTGCGCAGTGCTAGCCTGGGTGATTCGTGAACTTCATTTCTTATTTAACTTCACGACTGTATGTTTGTGTTATGAGTCCTGTAGCCGGGCACAGCGTGCGCACTTATGCACAGTCGGTGATCGTATGGGCGGCATCACATGACTAATATTGCATCATGCCACCTTTGTTTAGGTGATGACATGAATTGAATGACTAGTTCAGTGTCGGTCCCGTGGTAACCGGTATTGCTGCGTACTTTGTGCCATATTGATGATTTATGGTTCGCGAACCATTATTGAATATGCGCTTCACGACCTAAATCACTATTTGGTGGGGATTTGACTTGTAACGGACTTGCAAGGATTGGTTAATTGAACATCCTTGCAAGTAAGAATTTTGTTAAATTGTTTTGTGTGCCTGTGATTTCTGAGCGCACAGAGCCACAAGGCTCATCACCGGGCTCCATTCTTAAGGCGACTCTTGCACTGTAAACGAGGAGTGATACCAACCGACTCCAGGACTAGATGGAAAAGAGGCAGTGCGCTGTGTGTTTTGCGCAACCGCTTTCGATTTCACTATTCTCTTCCTAGTCTGTGGAACCTTTCTCATGGTGTTGATCCCACGTTCCCATCCAACAGCCCCAACCCAGCACTCAGAACCATCCACCAGCTTGCTAGTAGCATGCACCATTCAAATTGACTCGGAATCTCTTCCTAGATCAAACCCAACTCAGGGAATGGTTCTTGGATGCTAGATGGTGCTGAGGGGGCTCGCATGGGGTATGAGTTCGATTGAGAGATGGGCTCACAGCAAGTCGATGTTTTTTTTGTTGGATTTCATTATGCTTACCCTCATCCATAGGCCTAGGGCCGGAGCAAGCGACGATGAAGTGATGGATACTTCCCGATTGTCATGCTCATCCAGTGTCCTCCTTGTGCCGAGTAAAATGTCCCAGTCTTGATGCTTCTTTGGCACACGGACTGACCGCGAGGTGGATATGTCAAAGATTCAGGATCCTCGTCACTGCATGCATGAAGACGGAATTGAATTGATGCAGGGAATTCCTCGAGTGTCCACTCACCTTGACCGCATATTGTGTAGTAGCATCTGGATATAATGCTCAGGAAGGTCTTATTCATCCAGACCGATCTTGCTACCATACCTCTAACTTTTCCAAACAGTTCTCAGAATGCACCACCGAACATAGGTCCTAGACAACTTGGTGCTTGCTGGATCTGTATACCAACCCTCAAGCAGTAAGCTCTGAGCGGGATCCTGCTGTTTAGTGCTCCATCCACACTGTAATAGTAATAAAAGAATATACCACCTATGAATCATTTTCGACTCTCAAGGCCCGGGCCAGGTGTTTTTGAATATCATTTAACAAAAATGAACAGATTCACAGCATGCATCAATGGAGAATTGAACCCCCGGCAGGTCAAATGCGAGACCTGTTGCTTGCTTTCTGTAGTGCAGCCCAGAGCCCGGAACCCACAAGACAATGCCCACCTTGAACTCAAACCTTCTGTCCCTCCCACACCTTTGGCTACAAGGCGCCGCTTTTTCTTCTTGGTTTGCTTCCTCCTATCTGGTTCACACAACTTTTAACCCCCCAGGCCCAGCACCACTCATAGTCTCTTTTCTTTTGGGGCCTCGAACTATGAGGTGGGCAAACGCGGCATAGAAATTATCCTTTTTTTTTTGGTGGACGCATTATATTGACTTCAGGAGTACTCTACTTAGCAACTAGGGATCTCAACATTGTCACCCCCTTCAGTCCATGTGAAGTATGCAGGAGAACTAGAAACCCGCATCAAGTGATAACCCTGAGGAAATGCCTTGCACACTCCGTGTGGACTCTGCATCAGTGATCGCATTATCCTTCTCTCTTCCTACCTACATCTCTCCCACACATAGACCTAAGACGTGTACCACCTTCCAATCTCCACCTTCAATGATCTAAGATGCCATACCCACTAAAACCTCTGCCATCCTCATCCGGGTCATCAGGGAGATCTCTCCCATCCTTGATCCTATAGAAATTATCCTTATACTGTGTCGTAGCCTTGGGTTATGCACAATATAGCTCACGCTTGATATACAATGTATGGCTTGTGCTCAAAACATGAATGCGGATCTTGATCCTCAACCTTGGGTCCCTTGTCATCGAAAATAATTATTGTTCGATATGAAAACAGGAAAGTTGTACCAGGAGTATGGATCAAGAGGGAATGGAACCCTCAGTGACAATAAAGTGGTTTTGTATGGCAACGACCCAGGTTACCACTACCCCATAGATGCAGATGCCTGTGCACTCTTTCTTGCTGGACAGGCATTTTAGGTGCGTACCTCCTCTTCGACATGCACTCCTCTTTTAACCTTCCATGCCCCTGCTTAGTAGGGACTTGTGCACAACGGCCTTCCCTTCCGACTCCAACTCACACTGCACTACAAAAGAGGGACAATGCAGGGTGTATCCCCTGTTACCGCAACCCCAACTCTATCCTGCCAGTTCCATTCAACTCTTTGATTCCTCTCCGAGTCGTGGCATCAAGCCATCGAGCTTTTCTACTTACACAGGTCCAATCTGGGTCTGGGGATTGCTTATTACTATTCAAGGATGCTCATGTCCCAGCAACATTCATAAGGTGAGCCTTGCTCTGTAAACGAGGAAAGAGGGGGTGTGCTGTGTGTTTTGCGCAACCGCTTTTGATTTTGTTATTCTCTTCCTAGTCTGTGGAACCTCTCATGGTGTTGTTCCCATGCTCCACCAGAAGGAGATTACTTGCATTCCCATCCAACAGCCACGACCCAGCACCCAGAACCATCCGCCAGCTTGCTAATAGCCCACACCATTCAAGTCAACTCAGAATCTGTTCCCAAATCAAAACCGACTCAGGGAATGGTTCTTGGATGCTAGATGGCACCGAGGGGGCCCAGGTGGGGTACAAGTTTGATTGAGAGACAGCCTCACAGTGAGTCGATATTTTTTGAGTTGGATTTTGTTATGCTTGCCCTTAGGGCCAGAACAAGCAGCGATGGACCGATGGATATGTCCTGAGTGATACGCTTGTCCAGAGTCCTCCTTGTGCCAAGTAAAATGTCCCAGTTGTTGGAATGTTTAAGGTCCAATGTTCCACTCATGGCGGTCAATGGCTTAGGGCATCTATAATCCTGGTGACATACATATCCCAGAGCTGCCAGCTCACTCCTTATCTTGGGCACTCGATTGATCGTAAGTGCACGTTGTATGCCAGTCCTTTCATGCCAACAGCTACCTTTGACATATTGATTTTGTCCTTCTCCAATACAAATGTCATCTTAGCTAATATATCCTGTATGTATTATACCTTCAATATGAAATTTTAACCTATCGTAGTCACTAGAAAGAAAACCTCATCACACAAAGAGGCGAGCTTGTGATATACTGGTACCTACGTACCTCATGCTACGTGCTACGAGTCGCTACGAGCCGCTACCTACTGTTGGGTGCCTACTACAGGCACTACAGCCACTATGTAGGCGACAGTGGAAAATACATAGCGAGCATTTTTCCTGATGTGCATCACCAGCCGAGGTTCATTCATCTAACCGAATGAATCCTGCATCATGGAGTCTGACACACAGAAACCCCTATGTAGGCGAGCTTCTATAGAAACTCGTGAGTTTGTGCGAAGATCATTAGTTTGGAGTCACTGAATGAATCCCTGTTGGATGATTCCCAACAGATCCTGGATGAACTGTAATAGAAGCTTCACAATTTGGGACAGGGTTTGTTAATGCATCACTGAATGAATATTGCATGATGTCGGACACTGCACAAAGTGATTGCAAATGAAACCTGTGAAAAGAGATCAGGAAGGAAGGAAGGAAGTTTTATTAACCAACGGTGCTCCTCAACATCGGAAGTGTGCCGGTGTCTGTACTACAGTTCCCTGTCAGTACAATATAACTAGCCACTTGTATCTACATCAGTATCTAGTCAGAAGTACAACTGCTATGGTACTAAACCATACCTGCGCTCTGCCGCTATGATCAAGGCCCTTCTTGAGTACTCCCTCACAGCCTCGGCATCAAGAAACATGTTCAAAGTGATTGGGAAATGGACCTGGGTGAAATTATTGGGAAAGAAACCTACATGAAATGATTGGGAAACAGACCTGGGAAAAATGATTGGGAAAGAATTCTGAAACTTCCCAATTTGAGAGTTCTCACAGTGTTCAAAGCCCAGGAGTCCTCTTACATGTTGTCAATATACGACTTGCTATATTTATCTTGTCCAGCCTATGACTATAAAGCATCTACTAGCCGCCCTTGGCCATTACCACAGTGTTACCTTCTTTCTACCATGTGTATAACATTCGAAACCGCCCATTTGTATGTTTCTCTAGAGTTTTGACTAGAGGCTGATACTATCAGATCCATGGCATTTCACCCCACCCTCCAAGAGCTTGACATGGAGCTGGGTAGCCACAGCGTTGCCTTAGCCCCGATCGAACAAAACTTGTTTGGACTGAGTGTGAAAGAATCCTGTGGGAAGAGATTGCGAGTTCAAACTGATTGCGAAGAATCCTGTTCGAAGGAGTTATGAACAAGTAATGAAGTGGCAAGACAGGGAAGGTGGGGCAGGCAGGAGTGCCACGCCGTTTCATAACACGCGTCGAGTTCACATGATCTGGTGCTGCCTCACTTCGTACCATCATCATCTCTGCTCGACCAAAGAGCGACTCTTCTTTCGTCGACCAGCCGCCTAAGCAAAACAGGTGGACAATCTTTCAAACACATGACTACAACTTACACCAACCCCCCAACAACACCAGAGATGCCCAGACAGATGGCGACGCATCCGATAGCCCCCTCAGAGCAAACACTATGATCCAGAACAGCAGCACCAGCAATACCGACAGATTTCCAGTCCAACAGAGCAGAGCACACAACGCCCTCACCTCAGGATGCATGAGACAAACAGCTAGAAGGCAAATGGAGTGTAGCACTCCTCACAGCAGCGGCGGAAGACCTTATGCATGACGACTCGCCTTTGACGCAGCTGACACATCAACCATCCCCAGCATACTCCATGGATGAGATGCTTGAAGAAGCCATGTGAGACTACTGGCCTGAACAACACCACAGAGACCCAGACAGTGACATACAGGGAGGCATGATGATGAGCTTGCCAGCCCCGTCACCCCCTAGGTTCACCAGCCTGCAGAAAGGGAAGCGCAGACTTGTTGCAGCCTCCTCCATCGAGGGAGGCATAGTCTGCAGTGCCACGGCCAGCCCAAGCACTATCGGATGAGGTATGGTCACGCATATACCCAGCCCTTCGTCCATTGACCAGACATTTTCAGGCTTAGACCAGCCAGGAGCTGGACCTGCTCCCAATGCCAAGGCCGGCACAAGTGCTACCTACAGAGGTATGACCGCACACCTGCATTATGAGCATTCATTGACCGAATCAGCTCTTGCAGACTTCGTCCAACCTTACCCAGGTCAGAGATAATGGGGCGTCCCTCCAGGGCTCAAGTCCCCAATAGCAGAGAGCCAGGTATCCCAGAGGAGAGTCGAGATGCTCACATCAGAGCAGTCAATGCAGTCGAATGCGGGGAGGAAGCATACCTTGAGCTTAAGCAACCAAGCCATGGACCGCCTGTCTATTAGACATCGCACTACCCTGTTAGAGACCCTGGTCCAGCAATGACAACCCAACGGACAGCCAGACTCGTTGGTAGTCTACCTGGGAAGCACACGCCCGCCAGTGCCACCACCCATGTCGCGACTGACAACAAGCAGCACCCGTCCTTCAATGGTTCACTCACAGATGCAACCCCCTCCAAGCAGCTCAGTGTGGGCTACCCCAGCGACACAAGTTGCTCCGGGTCAGCAGGTGCAAGGCAGCTCCAGGGCCGCATCAATGAGCAGCCATGGAGATAACTACAATGTTGCCTGTAGACATTTACCAGCAGCGACCCCAGGCCCAGCCTGCGGCATGAGAACTCTCCAGCATACACGTCAGGCAGAGCGTGACTTCGACCCAATAGCAGCCACGCTCTTCGTCCAAGACCAAGAACCGACAGCGGCAAGGCCATGGAGGGTAGTCCCCACCTATGACCCCAACGTCATAAACTTACCGTGGGAAGTCCGACATAACCTACAACATGGGATGCAACACTACATGTGCATCACATTGTTTTCAATAGAAGCCTGCAGAGAAGACGCAGTGAAACCTCTAGGACCTAGAGAACGACAACAATGCTTCATAGGAATGGGAGGAACCCTGGAATTCTCGGTCCCGCCACACAAAGCTGCGCCAGAAGATTTGGTGAAGACGTATGACGAGTGGATAGGACTTATGATCCAGATGACCCAAGGACTCAATGGCTTACCTAAGTATTTCCAAAATAGGTATATGAAAGTACATCTAATTGGCCAACACTGTCCAACAACCTGGACCTCGGAGATGGCATTTGGGGGCCCCTAGCCATGGACTACATAACCAGCATATGTGGCCATTGGAGTAGATTGATAAGACTCCCCCGAGTGAAGGAGCTCTTCCCAGTCATTTGAGCCTACGATTTGGGCCTTCATCAACACATTTACAACAATGGAAACAAGGGCAACTGGGACTTCAACCTCGCAGCATGGAATTCACATCTCACTGAGTTCAATCTGAACAAAGCTAGGGCAGCAAAGACGAAAGCAGCAGACTACGATGCAAAATTCCTCACCCTACAGAACGAATTTTGAAACTACAAGACGCAAAAACCTATGCAGCAATACAGAGACCAGACTGCTCCCTACTCATCGACTGATGCACGCCAATGCAGGCCTCCACAAGCCATCATGCCAGACTACGTATGCATGGTATGTGGAGAAAAAGGCTCCCACTCCTTTGGAACCTGCCCAAACGCTGCAAAGAACACGACAATCGAACTCAGAAATGGAAAGTGGCATTTCCGCACAGGAAACAAACCAGTATGCTATGCTTTCAACTACCCCGATGGGTGCAAAAGACAAGCCTGCCATTTCTGACACGCATGCATCAGATGCAACAATGCCTCCCACAGTGGCCATGCCCACCGATGAAGACCTCTTTCCGATAGCGACACCCTTCCACCATGAAATGTGGACTCTCTATCTCGATAAAGCGCACACCCTACCAGAATTCGCAGACATCCCCATCGGCATACGAGAAGGCTTTATGATGAGCCTAGAAAATTTCAGACTAGACAGGACATTTATTCCCTGCAACCATTACATGTTACCAGAGCACCATGAATTCCTAAAAGACAAGTACCATG